ANNNNCNNNCCCTAGGCTGCAATCCCGTTCCTCCGGGTATTACAATCGGTAGTCACGGCCCTAGGCTGCAATCTCGTTCCTCTGTGACTAGCGATATCTGGAAGTGTCAACCGCTGTCTACAATTGTTAGAACATTACATAGATCCTTTTGATCACTTGTAACGCCTAACCTCACACACAACATAAAAGTTTACCTTTGACCCGCATGTATCTAGACAGATCACACGCGGATATGCTTCCTCTTGAAATCCTGCATCCACAAAGGTTAGCGGCAAGTACAAACATAATCATCTCATGACTGATGCAGCATGCAATCAAACAATCATGCACAAACAATCAAAGAAAACACTTAACCAAATTCCTAGGGTTCTAGCACGAACCTCTACGACTATAACGCATAACAATAAACAATCAACGTGTGCCCTACTCATCTAGCACACGACAAGCATCACCAAGACTCACCTTATTCAAAAGTTAGGACTTAGACTCGGATTTAGGCTTAGAACGGATCTAGGTTCCTTGACTACTCCACGATCTAACAAATCTTCCCTTTCCTTAAAACANACAGAATTTCGGCTTGAATCTCGATCATTCCAACCATTAAAACCACAAAGGGTTGGATTCAAGATCACAAGACGAAACAAAGTCAGATAGAAAAGTTAGGATCGGAACGCCTTACCCTAAAAACTTCACGGCACTACTGGATGGTTCCCGACAACAGACCGCGGATTGGATCACTATCACGAACTATTTTAGTCAGAGGTTTGGAATGTTTTCTATGTAAGAAATAAGAGCAATTGGTCCTATTTATAGGGTTAAGCAAGCAGGTAGGCANAGTAGGACNGTNAGNAGTGTGTGTCGTGCTTCCCGATGAGTCNTTGCACACGGTCNCGANANCTCGTGCTTGCGNATTTNTCNTGCTTGTGGATTTGTCNTGCTTGCGNATTTGTCGTGCTTNTGGATTTGTCGTGCTTCCGATGACTCGTCACACAAGATCGCGACACCTCGTGCTTACGAGATTTGTCGTGCTTCTGATTTGTCGTGCTTATGGATTTGTCGTGCTTCCGATGACTCATCACATAAGATCGCGACACCTCGTGCTTACGGGATTTGTCGTGCTTGCGGAGTTGTCGTGCTTGCGGATTCCAAGCACATCAATCCCGAGCAGATGTGTCGTTCTTCCACATACTTTTATATTTTTGTAAAAATATCAAGTTTGAAAGCACCTTGCCACCTCATGCTTCTCGCCACGTCGTGTTTCGGGCCACCTCGTGATTAAAATCCCTTCATACTTGACAATTTTTCTTCCATCAACTAGGTCTTGGCTCGATCATCTCTCGTAACTGTTTTGATCTCTTGACAGGGTCATTACA